CAAACTGAAGGGATGGTGGCATGCGGGCGCAGCCACTGGGGCCTTACGTGGAGCTCCGGATGGGGCCACGAAGCGTGTGAGAGGTGTGCCAAAATGAAGGGGGGGGATAAACGAGCGAATCAGGGTCACGCCGACGCGGCATCCGCGCCGTGCCGAGGCGGAGGAGGAACCGAAGGAGGGCAGGATGAGGAGAAATCAGACGGGGCGATAAGGCGCTCCAAGCGTGGACACACGCTCGTGTTCCAAGCTGTACACATGAAGGGCCCGAAGCTCGACAACGTGAAGGAGAACACAGGTGATCTGGAAGGGGGGGGGCGGCATGCGGGCGCAGCCAATGGGGCCTTAGGTGGAGTTGGTGTGTGTGTATGCCAAAATCAAGGAGTGTCGGTGTGCGGGCGCAGCTACCGGGGCCTCAGGTGGAGCTCCATATGGGGCCTCGATACGTGTGGTGTGTGAGTGTGCTAGAAACAAAGAGTGGCGGCATGTGGGTGCAACCACTGGGCCTTAGGTGGAGCTCCCTATGGGGCCACGAAGCGTGAGAGGGGTGTACCAAAATGAAGGGGTGGCGACATGCGGGCGCATCCACTGGGGCCTTAGGTGTAGCTCCCTATGGGACCACGAAGCGTGTGAGAGGTGTACCAAACTGATGGGCGGGGCATGCAGGCGCAGCCACTGGGGCCTAGGTGGAGCTCCCTATGGGGCCACGAAGCGTGTGAGGGGTGTGCCAAAGTGAGGGGGGTGACGGGAGTGCCGAACTGGTTGACATGCGGAGGGCAGACGCAAGGGTGGGAGGAGGGAGGGGCGAGAGGAGGAGGAGGAGAGGAGAGGAATGGGAGGAGAGGAGAGTGGACGCTGGGATTGTCTCGTCAAAACGAGGACCCAACACCACAGGATAGTTAGGAAAAACACACTTCCGAGCGATGCCAAACTTATCGCCCCCCCACTGCGCAACGCCCGACGACCAACTTCTGCCACCGCGCGCCGGGCGGGACGGGGCCCTGGCAGCAAAACACCTGCGACGCAAGGGATCGCAGTAAAGCAATCCTACTCCTCCTCCTCCGCCTCCTCTTCCTCCTCCTCCTCCTCCTGTTCTTTCTCCCCCTCCCCCTCGTCCCCCTCCTCCTCTTCCTCATCCTCTTCCTCCTCTTTTTCCTCCTTCTGCTAGTGTTCCTCCTCCTCATCTTCCTCGTCCTCGTCCTCGTCGACGTCGTGTTTGGGGGGGGGGGGTCTCCAGCGGCGCGGTGACGTACTTCTGGCACGCCGCCGCCACGAGCCTCGGCAGCCGCGCGGGCCGCTCTGCCGCAGAGGGCTTCTGCCGGGCAGGGCCAGCCGGCTGTGCGGGTCCCTGTCTTTCGGTGGCAACCCCTGGGAGCCCGCCATGCCATCTTGCTGGCTCTTGCGAATCGACGCTGGTCGACGCTAGTCGATGCTAACCGACGCCTGTCGACGCTAAATCGGCGCTATCTCATCGACGACCAGACTCTAGTCGACGCTAGTGCGCTGCAAAAGCCCGATTGCAAAGGTATACAGGCCTCCCAGGACTTGCTGCCGCATTTTTTGAAGCGCCGAAAGGATTCTTGTCGGTGGCGATGTGGGGCACGAAACGCAGGGTGGAAACGCTGGGCCTCGTTTTTTTCGGGACCTGCAGGCCTCCTTTGGGGCCCTTTTCGGGACCCGCAGGCCCCCTTTGGGGCCCCAAAGGGCTCCTTTCAGGGGCCCTCTAAGGGCATCACTTCTGCAGCCCTCGCTGCGCTCCCCCCGCATCTATTGCCCCCCCATGGCGCAACGCCCAAACACAGCTCGGGCGCAGGGCGCCAGCGTCGGAGAGCGGACGCGGAGGAGGAGGAGGATGAGGAGGAGGAGGAGGAAGAGGAGGATATGATGATGATGATGATGATGATGATGATGATGATGATGATGCTGATGATGATGATGCTGATGCTGACGCTGACGATGACGATGACGATGACGATGACGATGATGATGATGATGATGATGATGATGATGATGATGATGATGATGATGCTGATGCTGATGCTGATGCTGATGCTGATGCTGATGCTGATGCTGATGATGATGATGCTGCTGCTGCTGATGATGATGATGATGATGATGATGATGATGATGATGATGATGATTTGATGAGGAGGATGATGAGGAAGGAAGAGGAGGAAGAGGAGGAGGATGAGGGAGGAGGTGGAGTGGGAAGGGGAGGAGGAGGACACTGATGATGATGAAGATGAGGAGGAGGAGGAGGAGGAGGTGTTCAATTTTCGATTGGAAGTGGAAGGATGTATCCTCACCCTATAGGCCTGCCTGTCGTGCAGCGCCTGGTCTTCGAAGGGGCGGGTGCCGTCGGAGAAGCCGCCTGCGTACTCCTGAATCGGCGCTCTGTCTCATCGCGCCGCTGTTTGCGTCGAATCCACGTCAAACGTCCGCGTCGAATCCGCGTCGAAGTCCTCGCCGAGTCCACGCCAGATATCGACCACGAAAGCGCCATTGACAGGACAGACAAGGGTCCCACGAAGACGCTCCTTATGGAAGCCGCCCCCCCCCGGCCCAGGCCCATTCTGCCCGCAGGCGGCTCTTTTTCCAGCGCCGCAGGGGCAGAGCGGGTCCGCAGTGAGGCTCCCCGAAGGTCGGAGCTCGCGCGCGGCCGGAAAACACGAGGCCTGCAGGCGGCAGCGCGTGATGCAAGCGCGGTGGGTGCCGGCATCAGGAGGCGGGTCCGGAGGGAAACGGGTCCCGGACCCTGGAGGAGACGAAGGCAGGATGCGGAGAAATCTGCATAAATCTGGCCGGGGCTGAAGCGGGGATCTCCGAGAGCCGGCGACCCTGGAGGATGTATCAGACGCCGCGGCCGTTCCACAGAGCTCCGGAACGTGCTGGGAGCATCTCCGAACGCTCTGGATCGATGTGTCCTCATCCTACTGGCACGTAGGAAGTCTGCGCAGAAGAGATCTGGGGGCACGATTGTCGTCGAGCTTGTGAGCTGCTGCAGGAGGTGCCGCAGAGCTTCTGTGAGCCCCCGGGGCCATCGTGGCAACTGCTGGCAGGCTGGCTTCTGACTTGACGTGCAGGCCTGCCTGGGTGGGGCCTCGCCAAAGTCTTCGGTCGGGCCTGTCCTCCAACAGGGGGATTCGGGGGGGAAAATACAGACAACAGCGCAAAACATATCCGAGATTAGTCAACACATAATCGACACATCGTCCCCAAACTATCTTTTGACCATTTCTAAAATCTATCGTCAATGCCGCCCGCTCCGCCGGAGCGCGAGGGCGCGTGAGAGACGCCGCCCGCTCCCTGCAGAGCGCCAGATGGGTGACGCCATGAGGCAACGAGGCAACGACGTGGGGGAGAAAACCAGTCTCCTCAAATTTCACTGCCGCCGAAATCGATGCGCGATTTAGGGGCAACTGAATGTGTCTGCTGTAGAGGGACATGCCCGACTTGACCCCAAGTCCAGCTTTTCACCCCGAGCCGTTTCTTGACGGCCCCCCTGGGGCCACGGGACAGCCGCGTGGGAGCTGGGAGTCCGAGCGCGGGGAGGAAGCCCCTCCGGGGCTCCCTTCGCTCCAGGGGGCCCCCTTTTGCTTCATGGCGAGGGCTGGCGCTGCGCGCACGGCGGGGTTGCACGGGTTCCCCGGGGCCGTAGGCGACCCGAGGAGGAGGAGGAGGAGGAGGGAGGAGGAGGAGGAGGAGAGAGGAGGTTAGGGAGGGGGGAGGGGAGGAGGAGGAGGAGGAGGAGGAGGAGGAGGAGGAGGAGAGGAGGAGAAGTTGGAGGACGAGGAGGAGGAGGAGGAAGAGGAGGAGGAGGAGGAGGAGAGGAGGAGGAGGAGGAGGAGGACGGGTCGCCACAACCCTTCGAAGAACCCCCCAAGGGGGGTGGAGGGGTGGGTGTGCCTTCTGGAGAAGGTGCAGGACTTCCGGAGAAAGCCGTGGCCTGCTCGCGCCACCCCCGTGCGCGCGCCGCCAGGAGCAGGGGAACGCCAACTCTCCACACAGACCCGTCATTGCCAGACCGATCCCAGGCCCAGGATCCGATCCTTTCACGGCGCGAGGGCGTCTGCAGCTGCTCCATGTTGGAGGTGGCCGGGGGGTCTGAACTGGTTGGGGCCACAGAGAAAAACGCCGACCCTTCGGCGTGTGCGAGAGGCTTTGCCCTCGTCGTCGCCGCCGCCGCCGCCGCCACCCCCGTCGTCGTCGTCGTCGTCGCGTCGCCGCCGCCGCCGCCGCCACCCCCGTCGTCGTCGTCGTCGTCGTCGTCGTCGTCGTCGTCGTCGTCGTCGTCGTGATCACCAAGGAAGTCGAGCAACAAGGAAGAGCATAGTGGTTAATTGTTGACGCTTCGCGTCTCCCCATCAGCCCATCCAGAAACTATGCCCAGGGTAGTTGAGGTGATCAGGGAAGTGGGGGAGCATGCAGAAGAACAAAAGGCAGGGAAAGCCGTCTGATACCCCATGAGGGGGAGGATGGTGGAGGAGGAAGATGAGAAGGAAGAGGAGAAGGAGGAGGAGGAGGGCGATGAGGAGGAAGGAGGAAGAGACAGTGGACAAGGAGGAGGAGGAGGCGGAGGAGGAGGAGGAGGAGGAGGAGGAGGAGGAGGAGGAGGAGGAGGAGGAGGAGGAGAAGGAGCATCCTGGCGAGCCCAGGGGCTTCTTTGAGCGTCTTGGGTGCCTGGGAGATCCTCTTGAGGCCTTTTGGGGGCCTCTTGGGAGCCTCTTGGAGGCCTCTTGGGCGCCTTGTGGGTCTGTTTGGGCGGAAACAACGGGTACAATGCCCAACAACAGATGTTGTCCCAAACCAACAGCGGCCGCTGTTGGGCAGGCGGCCCTCTGTCTCGAATGTACACAGGCCGCGGCGACACCGACAGCGAGTTCTGTCCAAAATGAGCAAGAACTGCTGTCGGGCACTGTACTCCAGACTTCGTAATCAAAGGGAGGGGGTCTGGACCCTCCAAGACAAGCCATTTCAGACCTCCCCCGTGGGAGAACCCTCCAAAACGTCGTCCCCAGACCCCCCCAAGCCCTCCAAGATAGCCTGGAAGAGACCCCCCCCCGAAATGAGACCCCCCTCCCTTTATTACGAAATCTGGAGTACCCGTTCTTTCCGTGCCCATGTCGGGCGTCCACAAAAAGGCGAACGGCGGGTGGAGCGGCGGGAAGAAAGGGCGCCCCGGGTCGGCCGGCCGCCCCCCCTCCCGGGTCCCGGCGGGTCCAGGCGGGGATCTGGGGGGGCCGCCCGCAGGGCTCCTGGGGGATTCGGGGGCCACACGCGAGCCCTACCCCTTCCCCCCACGATCTCTGAGGGGGAGGGTGGGGTTCACTTCGCTGGGGAGCTCCCGAACGGAGTGAACCCCACCCTCCCCCTCAGAGATCGTGGGGGGTAGGGGTAGGGTTCGCATGTGGCCCCCTAGGGATGTCCAGCCTTCAGGGTCGGCGGCGCCGGCCGTAAGGCCCTCGCAGTCTGCCAAGAGGGGGGAGATGAAGCCAGATCCGCGCCCAATCGCTCCCCGGAAGCCTCCTGGGGGGTCCATCTGGAACGCTGTCTTCCGACGGATCCGTTTTTCACGGCCCCTGGGCTCGAGCACGGCGCCCAGAGGCCGAACGAGTAGAAGCGTTCCCGAACCCAGCGCCTCGAACCTGGCCCCCCTCCCTGCTGGTCGGAACCTAATGGCGGCGCGCACAGAGGGGTAGGGGGAGAGGGGGGAAGGCTTCTTTGACGCTTCGGGCGCTCGGGTGCGCTCAGCAGCCTGCGCAAGAAAAGGGAAGGCTTCTTGGAAGGAAACTGCTTCCGAGAGGGCGCCGGCTCCACATCTATAGACAAGGCCCGCGCCTTCTAAGAAGCAGCGGTGCTTCCGAGAAGCCTTCCCCCCCCCCCTGCCCCCCTTCTGCGAGTGGCCGAACCAATGCTGGGCCACCTCCGACCCCCAGGCGGTTCCGACCTGCAGCTGCTCCATGGGCTCTCGCCCATGCGAGGGCGCAGAACGCCGGCATCTAGCGCCCCCAGCGCCTGACCGAGGGGCCACCCTCGGCTGCACTCGGCACACCTGACGGCGCGTTAGTCGTCGTCGTCGCCGCCGCCGCCGCCGCCGCCGCTGCCGCCGCCTCTGCCGCCGCCGCCGCCGCCGCCGCCGCCGCCGCCGCCGCCGCCGTCGTCGTCGTCGTCGTCGTCGTCGTCGTCGTCGTCGTCGTCGTCGTCGTCGTCGTCGTCGTCGTCGTCGTGGTCGCGGAGGGCCTCGGCCGCGCCCTCTCCGTGCTGGAGCGGCCTCCTCACAGCAGGTGCTCCAGGGCCCGCACCCGGGCGAAGGCGTAGGGCGAGTAGTGCTGCTCCCTGCGGAGGTCGAAGCTGGCGCTCTCCTTCGTGGGGGGGGAAACTATGAAGGGGCCCTGGGACACACAAATAAATACACACAAATAAAAAGACTCCCCATATCTTCCCATATTTTCTGGGTTTTTGTCTTCCCCACCACTTCCCATATTTTCCCATATTTTCTGGGGAGTCGACGATTAATTGTGTCTGTGTTTTTTTCCCTTTCTGAAGCTAGAAAGGGCGTGGACACGCGCGGACTTCCTGGATCTCCCTAGGCGGCGAGCGAAGGGGGAAGTGAAAAGGGGCGGGGCTTCTCAAAGGCTCGGAAGTCCCCAGGCGTTCTGGAAAGTTTCAGGAGCCCCCCGAAGACACAGACAACTTCTCGGAAGGCGCGATGGCGTCTGAGAAGCCACGCCGCCTTCTGCGAAGGCCTTTTCCTTCTTGCCTCCCCCCTCGCTCGCCGCCGGAGCCGAAAACGGCGTGGGCACGCGCGGGCATCCTGGATCTTCCTGGGGCCCGAGGAACAACGGAGTGGCATGGAAGCAGTGACGAAGTCATATCCGATAGTCGCCACGGCCCGGAGCTTGACGAGGGGCGGGGCGGCACGGCGGGACCCCGGGATGCCAAGCGCAGGCAGTCATGAATAACGCCGCGCCACGAGCAGCACAGGGCTCCGCAGGCAGGGCACCCGGGAACTGGGCCGCACACGACTTTTTCGGGGGCCACAAGAAGGCCCCAAGAGGCCTCAAGAGTTATGTTGCTCCCATCGTAGTTAAGGACCACATGCCAGGAAACAATCGAGCACCCAGCAAGGTGTCCTAATAGTGTCGAGCGAGTATCGCCTCCCAGGGCCTGACACGTGAAAACCCTCAAGTTTCGATAGTTTCTTGGTGCTCGACGTTCTTTCTGGTGGTCAAAGCTAAAGTAGCTTGGAACGTCATAACTCAAGAGTGCCTCAAGAGGCTCTGCGAGAGAGCCCCCAATATGGATCCAATAGACCTCCGAGAAAACGCTCCCAAGGCGGCTGTTGCACTGCACTCCTCTACACTTCCCTGATCAAGGCAACTCGCCTGGCGTTCTGTTTATGGATGGGCTGGTGGGGATATTTTTTGGTATGCGTGCGCGCGAAGACAAGTCGAACGCCGAGCAAGCTAGGGCGGGCCGCGCCGTAGCAAAAGGGCTGGTGGGGATACTTTTGGTACGCGGGCATGCGAAGCAAGTCGAATGCCGTGCAAAGCTGGGGCGGGCCACGCCGAAGCAAAGGAAAACACAGCGAACGAGCGGCGCCCGGCTCAGGTGGGCACGACGCAGTCAAAACGGCGCGGGAGGCATCACAGACAGCACCGAGAGCTAGGGCTGGTGGGGATGTGGGAAGCGTCAATCATTAGACTGCGCACGACTTCCTCGCGTTTCACGGAGCAACCTCAAACGCATTCATGATTCAACTCTGCTTGCAATCTGCTGGGCTACCCGCTGGCGTCGGCTGCACGGGCGTGGCTGCTGCTGCCGCGGCCGCTGCCGCCCCCAACTCGCGCAGCAGGGATTTCAAGTCGGGCTGCGCCGTTACTGTGGCCGATCTTGGCCAGCGGAGAGCTGTGCCCCGATGTACCCACGCTCAACAGCTCCAAGACTGGATCGACTGGTGTCGAGCAACGCCGCGGAAGAACACGATATCCTGCAGGACCCGTGCCCGCTCGGCACTGGCTCGCCAACTCACTGCTCCCCGAACACTTCCACCGACTCCATGTGAAGAGGCATGCGAGGAGCCATGTGAGGAGCCATCGGAAGCATGCGAGGAACCATCGGAGGATGAGGCAACTTCCGGAACTCCTGGCCCCTCCTCGGTGACAGCATCCGCAGCTCCAGCCGCAGGACAGTCATCCCCCGCAGGGGCCCAGAAGGCATTGCCCGCGGCCAGCGGCTGGCATCACACCGCCTCGAGGGGCCCCAGGACGCTCGAGTACGCCACGGCAGCGCACGTGCACCGAAGGCCGGCGGGTTCCGTCACGGGGACCGCAGTGCCTGCGGCGGGAACGACATCCGCCGAATCGGCCCTCAGCGACGTCAAGGCAACGGCAGGCTCGGGCGAAGGCGCCTCCTGTTCCACCTGCACCGTCGCGTCGGCCGTGCCCGTCTGCGCCGCCGCCTCTGATTTGTTTTCCGTATGCCTCCGCCTCTGACTGTAAAACCCCTCGATTCTCGGCAGGGTCATCCCAGCTCGGGGCTCCTCATGCGCACCTGCGCTGCCCAGCCGCGGCCCGCGTGGGGCGGCGCGCAGCTCAGACGCCGATGCCTGGCTGGTGCGCCCAGTCAGGCCGCGCGCCTCGGCGTCAGGCGCCACGCTGCGCCGCAGGCGGGCCAGCCACTCGGGCGGTTGCCCTGAGGCAAGCTGCCTCAGGGCGGGCAGCACGGCAAGCACCCCGGCCGCCAGGTCGCCGTCGCCGCCCGCGATTGCACCGAGCGCCTCTTCGGCGAGCTGCAGTCGCTCGGCGAGGCCGGCGGCTCGGTCCTGAGCCCGCCGCACTGCTCTGCTGGCTGCTGCCACAGCGCGGGCACGCCACTCGCGTCGCGCCGCCGTGTTTCCACCCTGCGCTGCCGCCGAGGGGGCGCATCCCGCAGCCATCCCAGACAGCGCAGCGAGAAGGAGGAGGAGGAGGAGGAGGAGGAGGAGGAGGAGGAAGAGGAGGAGGAGGAGGAGGAGGACCGGTGTAAACCCAAGACTCATCAACGATGTTGAAATACACCCTCCCTCCAAAAATCCCCCTACACAGGGGCATTTCCTCTGAGGGAAGTGCCCCGTTGGGGGGCAACCGTGTAAGCATCTTGAGGCGTGCCAAAGCACCATTCTCAGGACTTCAACGCCACGAGCTCATCTGCTGACTGTTACGTCTTGGCGATCCTGAACCGTGCGAGAACACCATTCCCGGGATAGGAGGAGGAGGAGGAGGAGGAGGAGGAGGAGGAGGAGGAGGAGGAGGAGGAGGAGGAGGAGGAGGAGGAGGAGGAGGAGGAGGAGGAGGAGGACGAGGAGGAACAGGAGAAGGAGGAGGAGGAGGCAGAAGAACAACACGCAGCGTACACATGAACTGCCAGAGATCCGCGCGGACTTCCTGGACCTGCGCTGGATTTCCCTGGTGGTGCCTTCGGCGCCGCCCATTGGCGCGCTCCGCGCGCCAGACAGGGGGCTCAGCACCGGTGCAACAGAACACCGCGCCGACTTCCGACAGTGCAGTGATACGTCTGCAGGGGGAGCGCGGGACGGAGGAGGAGGAGGAGGAGGAGGAGAAGGGGAGGGCGGAGGAGGAGGCGGATGAGGAGGACCAGGAGGAGGAGGAGGCGGCCGAACGTCTGCGGGTCTCCCTGCGGTTCGGGCATATCGTTTCTGAGTCCATTAACGGGCAGGTTTCCCTCCATGGCCTGGGGGGGGAGCTGGAGGGGGAGGGAGGCCGGAGGAGGGACTCTGCTTCTGGCTCGCGGCGAGGCCCGCACGCGGGGGCCAGGCCCTCGGCGGAGAAAGCGACGACGACGACGACTGGACACGAGGCGTGGCCACGACGACGGCGGCGGCAAACGGGCACGCCTCGGGGGGGGCGGCTGCACAACGCCTGCCCGGGAGGGGCGCCACCCTGCAGGTGTTTCTTCCTTGGCTCCTGGGGGACCCTCAGCGACGTGAACTCGTAGCGCTCCCAGGTGAGGCGGCAGTTCTGCCGGGAGCCGTTCTTGCGGGCGTGCAGCAGCTTGAACTCCATGACGTAGTCGTTGCGCGCGTCGGTGTAGCGGACCGTCACCATCATGGATAGAAGGAAAAATCCGCCGACTCCTTGGGGCCATCGGCGTGTAAGATGCTTCCCCCTCCCCAAACCCCTCCCCCCAAAAAGCCTCCAGGAGGCCCCATGAGGCCGCCAAGAGGCCCCCAAGAGGCTCCAAGAGGCCCACTAGAGGCCCACCAGAGGCCCCAAGAGGCCCCAAACGGCATCAAGAGTGCTGCCAGGAGGCCCCCAAGAGATCTACCAGGAGCCCCCCAAGGTGTCGGCGGTGCAGTGTAAACCCAAGAATATCTGCGCAAACATAAACCTTCGGGGGTCCGCTCGGATGTCTTGGATTGGCGCCTGACTCCTTCCCTGGCGCGCTCCGCGCGGCAAGGGCGGCGACGGAGGCGCCGCCAAGGGGGAGCCCGGCGCCGATCCAAGAGATCCGTACGGACCTCCGAAAGTTCATGGTCACACAAAATGTTTTCCCCCCCGAGATGGAGTCACTGTCGCTGTCCAGGCCGTAAGTGCCAACCACAACCCGCTCCTGTTGGGCGTTGCTCCATGGGGGTGCGATAAGTGGGGGGCGAAAGAGAGCGCACTTGTCGTGCTCTCTGCTTTGGGTCCCAGAAAGCTCCTTTAGGACCCCTAAATTGCACGAGAGGTGCACCCCAAGGCATGCGATGTCTTGACTTGTTCAGCACGCGGTCACTGAAAGTCCCGACCCTTTCCCAAGGGCGGCTTCTCATCCCGAGTCGATTTCTCTGACGGTCCACGGCCGCAAACTTCCCGTCGCACTTCTTTACAACGCGAGCATGTCTCGGCCTGTCTTCGCCGCCTGTTTACATATCGCCCGCGGCGCTCTCGCTCCGCCCCCCAGGAGAGAAGAAGTCGAGGAGGAATCCGAGCCGAACCGCGAAGCGCGAATGACTTCGTGCCCCCGAGGGCGCCCTTATCTCTTCGCTCCCCACTGGCGCAACGCTCAACTCCTGCTGGGCGCGAATATTAGTGGGGGGGCGATGAGTGTGGGGGGGGGGGGAGAAAGGTGCCCTCTGTTCGGACTGCCCCCTTCTGGGCCCGAAAGGGCTCCCTTAGGGGGGCCGTGCAGGGCCCCTTGTCGGCAGCCCTCGCTGCCCCCTCACTCCACGCCCCTCCCACTTGCGCAGCGCCCAGCTCCTGGACCTTGCGCACGTGCCCGGGAGGCTCCGCCGCCAGCCGCGCGCCGGCCCGGCCCAGGGTCCCCTCCCGGCCCGCCGGGTGGGTCTTCAGGGCCTCCACGGCCACCTTTCCGGGACGCACGGGCCCCTGCTGAGAGTTGAGATCGTTCTACGGTGAGAGAATGGGCGTCACGCCAATTGTCTTCTTAAGCAGCTCTCCAGGCCCATCATACGAGAGAGATGCGAAAGAGGAGCTATGAGAAAACGCCCAGGGCCCGGTCCAGACTCTCTATTTTGTCCAGAACTGTTTTGTAAACGCCAATTGGCGGACTTCGAAAACCCTGAGCCCAAACACGTTTTCATCTCTTAAGGAATCGACTTTTGCTTCCGCCGACTTCCGCCGGCCTTCCGCCGGCTCCCGCAGGCGGAGGCGCCCTCGTTTTACTTCCGCCGCCTTCCGCCGAGGAAGAGATGGCAACGCCTTCGATCCTTGAAGGCAGGGCCCCCCTTGGGACGCTTCATTTACGGAGGTCGGGGTAGTTTTCCCTCCCATGATATAAAGACATACAATGCGGGCGCGGCCGCAAGAAACCCTCGCAAGAAACCCAACCCTGAGAATCCGTGCGCGAGGTGCACCTGAGGGGAAACCTGGAGCACCCTGAACGCAGCAGCCCTTTCACCGGCTGCGGGCAGTCACCGCGCAGCGCGAGGAGCGAAGAAACCCAGGATACCCTGACTAAGAGCATATGGTCTCTTGATGCGCGCCCGAACTGTACTAAGATGTGCCTCTGTTGGAGACACACGTCCAACCCGAACATATTCGGAGGCGGCCAAGAGGGGGGCGTCCAAGAGGGGGGGGCGCAAATCATGGCCGGCGGCATGTGCGCGGCCCAGGTGGTGGGGGGGGGCAGAGACGTGATGAAATAAGAAGAGGCGCCATGAAACCTGAGGAAATACCATGGCCAACGCCATGACATCCACCCGCCCCCTAGTCATTACCCCCCCCCCTCCTCTTGGCCGCCCCCGAACGTATAGTGCAGCATCTCTTGTACCCTAGCTTCCAAGGCGGCATGGCCACACAGCGCCCGCCACGGAAATTATGCTGTAAGATCTCCGAGCGTGCGCGCCGCCCTGGCGTGACCGACACATTTCCGTGTAAGAGTACTATACAGATACATATACGAACATGTGTATACATATATAAACAGACACACACACCTATATATACACATTCAAACACAATCATACATACACATACTTGCATCCATACAGCTATATACAGACATGTACGTATTTCTGTACTTACATACACACCTATATATACTGAATAAGAACTCATACCTATACATATATTTATTGTTATAGTTACACACAAGCATCCACAACATTACATATCGTGTAAGAATGTACAAATACATCTATGTATACATGTGTATAAATATACTGAAATACACATCTTTACACAATATCTATATATATATACATGGGTGATGCCGACCTTCAGGTCCCCCTCGTAGGTGAGGACGAGGACCCGCCGCCGCGGGCGCTGCAGGTCCTCCTCGGGGAGCACCCGCAGCAGCCTGAAGTACCGAATGTACAGCGACTCGCGCGCGTCGGCGATCGTCGGAGGAGGGGCCGGTCAAGCCACCGGCGGCCCTCCCAGGCTTAGCCGACCCGATGCGCAACACGCAACCCGCAGCGCGCTGACCTGGAGCTCAACACGCAGACTGAACACGTAGGTCTGGCGGTTCGCCCAAGCGTGGGCCAACACGTGGAGCCAACACGCAACGCCGTAGCACCGACGTTCTGAACACGGGACGCGCTGCGTTTCAAAACGGGCGCATCCAGGCAGCCGAGATCCCGGGCGTTCGCCGTTTCTTGGGGAGGGGCCTCCTGAAGGCCTCTCGACGCCACGGCCGGGCCCGTCTCGAAAAACGGGTCAGAAGGGACCCTGGAGGGGGGCGGGGGGACGACCTCGACGCGGGGATCTTCTGACCCGGGTCGCTCCAGACCCGAGTCAGTCAAGCCTTGCATGATCCTGTAAGATCCTGCAGGACCCTGCAAGATCCTGCGCCCAAGCACGGGTCAATGCATCCCTGGCTCTGCAGGGTCCTGCAAGATCCGGCGCTCTGGCTGACCCCCGTTTGCATGGGCCCCCGTCTCTTGAGCTCCGGTCGACCATAACCAGCTCGGGCCCAGCGGGAGATCGCCGCCGCTGCCTCGGCGCTGGCCCCTCCTCCGAAATAGAGGCGCCCTTCTGCACGCGGCGGCGGTAGCCACAATTGGCGACGCATCGGGAAACCAACAATGGCATAAACATAACACTTCGGAGGTCCGGGAGGATTTCTCAGATCGGCGCTGGGCCCCCCACCCTGGCGCGCGGAGCGCGCCAGGGGCGGCGCCAACGCGCCGTCAAGGGGCTCCAGCGCTGATCCGAGAAATCCGCGCGGATCCGCGGAAGTTTTTCCCTCACATCCTGAGTAGGGTTTGTGTTTTCTTTGGACACCCCGCGCAGGAACAATACTACCGCCACATCATCATCATCATCATCATCATCATCATCATCATCATCATCATCATCATCATCATCATCATCATCATCACCACCACCATCATCATCATCATCCTCATCCTCCTCATCATCATCATCATCGCCATCACCATCACCATCACCATCATCATCATCATCATCATCACAATCATCGCCGCCATCATCATCACGCCACCATCATCACCACATCATGTTCTCACACTCGCCATCACCATCACCATCACCATCACCATCACCATCACCATCACCATCACCACCAGCACCATCATCATCATCATCACCATCATCATCATCATCATCGGCATCATCATCATCATCATCATTATTATTATTATTATCATTATTATTATTACTACTACTACTATTATTCTTCTTATTATTATTATTAGTACTATCGTCATCATCATCATCACCAGCACCCAGAGACTTGCGCACTCATGCAGTCCTCCTCCTCCTCCTGCTCCCATCCTCGTCCTCTTTCCATCCTGCTCCTGATTATGTTTCCCTCCTCCGCCTCCTCACCCTTCATCATCATGATCCTCACCCCGAGGCTCTCCCTATGGGGTCCCCACCTCACGTTGCCCATCCGATCGGGTCATCCGGTTCAAGCGGTGGCTTCGTCTGGTGAGTGAATGGCGAAGAAATCTCGAACTAGAGACACCTGTGATGGGGCATGCGTTTCATGTTATTAATCCGAGCGGGGATCGGGAAACTCTACCAGGCATAGCATTTGAACACCTGGGGGGCACATCGCGAGGATGTCTCTAGCGGGGGGTCGTCTGTAAGTGAAACGCGAAGAAGTCTCCAGCGGGAGCTCCCTGTGGGGCCCGCGCCTCTTGTCACTAAGCCGAGCGGGCGATCGGAAAACAATACCACGCACAACATTTAGCCACCCCAAGGGGGCAAACCGTGAGGATGTCTCGAGCCCGGGCCTCGTCTGTGAGTTTAACGCGAAGGAGTATCGACAGAACGCCCCGCTCTTTGGGCCCCGCGCTTCATGTTACGAGTCCGAGCAGATCGTACGACTACTCTACCAGGCATGCCACTTGAGCACCCCAAGGGAGCAGCGGGGGCCTCGTCTGTGAGTGAGGAGCGAGGAATTCTCAGGCGGGATCCCCTTCCCTCTGGGGCCCGCATGTCATGTTACGAATCCGAGCAGGAGGTCGGAATATTCTACTCGGCATAACACTTGAGCGTGTGGGGTTCTGTTTCTCTGGACACTCCGCGCAAAAAAAACACCACAAGGGTTCTCACGCGGGGGCCTCGTCTGAGAATGAAGCGCGAAGAAGTCTCAGGCGGGAGGGCCCTGCCTATGGGGACCGCACCTCATGTTAGTAATCCGAGCGGGTCATCGGCAAACACTACCATGCATAGCACTTGATCAAATGCAGAAGCCTCGAGCAGGAACTTCGTCTGTGAGCGAAACGCGAAGAAGTCTCGAGCCTCTCTGGGGCCCGCACCTCATGTTGGTGATCCTGTAGGTGTTGGGGTTGCTCCGGCGGCTTGACCTAGCGCCCCAGCTGGCCCGCGGGAATTGTTTCAGTGACCTGGCCCACTGGGTTGCTACAACGGCTCTGCGATCTGGCTGTCGGAAGGCGCGCCCCAGCCGGCCGCGGCGGTGACGGCGCTGGGGTTAATCGGCGTGCGCTCCCGTGCAAGGGTGGCGGGGGAGGCGGTGCACGAGGACAAGAGGCAGCAGGAGGAAGAGGAGGAGGAGGAGGAGGAGGAGGAGGAGGAGGAAGAGGATGTGGATGAGGCTGAGCAGGGGACGGGAGGGAGGCCACCGCCAGGGCAATGAGGAAAGGGCGATAGGGGGAGACAAGAGGAGTGCCTCCACTATCACGTGGACGACGGTGAGGATTACTTCAAACTACTTTGGGGGATTCTCATGTGAGGTATTAACGTCGGAATACTTGATGCTGGCAGAAGGGTGGACGTACACAAACATGCATAACGCAAGATAGCGATTCATAAAACATATGGGGGGGAACGATCAGTAAACTAGTTTCTCCGAATCTTCGGCTTCCGCTTCGCTTCGGCTCCGTCTGGCCCGTGGACTGTCCAGGCGCGCGCTCTAGGAGGGCGGGGGGGTGAACGATTGCAAAATAGTTTCCCAGCCAGAGGCCCGTTTCTCTAATCATCATCCTGTCGGGGAAGCGTAGGACTCGGGTTCGGGGGACTCGGGTTGTCCTGACGGGGCCAGCAAGACTATTACGAGACCCAGTCTGAAATCTGAGGCGAGCTCCTGCTGCAAACATCTAACGAAAATTGAACCGTCAACTTCCAGCAACGGCTCGTCAAAAAGCGTTGGCAAATCCGAGCTCCCGCATACTCGAGTCGTTGGGGAAACCCAGAGGTACCGATACCGCAACTCCCCGGACCTCTCCCAGGGTACGTTCTGACCAGAATGTCCAGGCGAATCCAGCAGTGGCGACGAGGGCTTCCTGGGAGGCCTAACAAGGGGGGGAGAAAGAGGGAAGGGTAGCGGTGTGGGTACCTGTTCCTCTTCTGAATCTTACGTTTCCACGATCCTGGGCGCCGCCGCGTGAACACGACCCCTGGAAATCTCTTAACCGTCATCCTGTACAGTGGAAGCGCTGTCCCAAGGAGCCCTAAACGGGGAACGAGGGCCCTCTTTTTCCCGTAAGGTAAGCTTCGATGCCCCATAGAGGATCCCAGGGAAACCTAAGACAAGCTGAAAGATAATGAAAAACACCGAGACGCTCTCCCCAACGAGAAGGGCTCTTTCTTCAGCGGCCCGACGGTGGCCCAGAGGTGCCCTCCCCCTGCTCCTCCCCGCGGCTATGCGCGGCTTCACGACAGACCCAAGCCGCCGCGAGTGCGACCGCGAACCCACCCAGCTCGTCATCTTCTTGTTTTTTTTGTGTGTGTGGGCCTGTAGCAACTGAGATTCGGTCGGGCATGTCCCCCTGCAGGCGGATTTTGGATCAAAAGCAAGATTGTCAAACAAATGCCCCTAGATGGTCAACAATAATAGAAAAATCGCCCCCAGACTATGTTTCCACAATTTTTCGATATTCTTCCTGTAGAGGGGCATGCCCAACTTACAGCGAAGGAGCACGAAATCCTCCCCAACGAAAAGGGCCCCTGCTTCCACGGCCCAACCGTGCTGCGCCTCGAGCAGCCGAGGGCGGTCTCTGCCGAATGGGGAGGGGGGGGGGGGGGTCGGCGGGGAGGCGCACTCCGTCCGCTGGCGAGGGGGGCGTTTCCCCATCCCCGTCTTCCTCCTCCCCCTCCTTCCTCCTTCCTCCTTCCTCCTCACTCCTCCCTCCTCATCCTCTCCTCCTCCCACTCCCCGTCCTCCTCCTCCTATTCACCGTCCTCCTACACCCTCCTCCTCCTCTTCCTCCTCCTCCCTCCCTCCTCATCCTCCTCCTCCTCCTCCTTCCTCATCCTCTCCTCGCGGGCTCCGAGGCTTATTTTCCTGTCTCCCCGCGCTGCCTTTCCGACGCGTTGTTTGATGGCCCGACCGCCGGCCCTCATCCTCCACGTCCTGGGCCTGCTGGTGCAGCGGCTGCCGACCCGCGCCCCTCGGCGCATGCCGCGAAGCGGCGGCGGCGGCGGCAGCGGCGCGCGGCGCGCAAGGCGGCGGAGAAGGAGGAGAAGGAGAAGAAGATTGTCGACGTGGAGGGCGCGGCGGCGGATGCTGGCGCTGCTGGGGCGGGCCTGCGGCTCGTGCAGGCGGCGCAGCCTTCCGCCTGGGCGGACTCCGATGGCGACATCGACTTCGACGACACGTGGGCCGACGATGCTGTTCGTCGAGCCCCGCCCTGTGCTGCTGGTGCGGTGGCGGCGGAGCCAGCTCGTGCGGCTGGCGGAGCTGCTAGCGCAGCGGGGCGGGCTGGTCCTCCGGAGGCGGCGACGCTGATGGTGGAGGAGCCCTCGGTGGTGGAGGACGTCAGGGAGGTCGCGAGGAGGCTCCTCGCGCAGCGCTCCCTTCGGTCTTCCTGATGGTGCTCGTGGAGCTGCAGTGGCGATTCCGGGTTCTCGGAGCTCATGGAGTCGCTCGGGTGGTTCCTCGTGCACGCGTGCGTGGAGCATTTGGTCTCCCGCTCGGCGACGTGGCACGTGTTCTACGTCGACTTCCACTGCCTCCTCAACGCGGGCGGGGGGCCAGTTCCTGGTCAGGTCCAGGGCTGGCCCCCCGCTGATCCTTAGTGGTGGCAGTGCACGGCGATCTTAAAAATCCTCCTCCTCCTCCTCCTCCTCCTCCTCCTCCTCCTCCTCCTCATCCTCCTCCCCCTTTCCATCCTCCTCCTCCTCCTCCTCCTCCTCCTCCTCTCCTACCCCTTCCTCCTCTCCTCCCCCTCCTCCTCCTCCTTCCTCCTCCTCCTTTTCCTCTCCTTTTCCTCTCCTCCTCTCCTCCTATCCTCCTCCTCCTGCTCCGCTCCTCTCCCTCTCCTCTCCCTCCCTCCCTCCACTCCCTCCCGCCCTCCCTCCTCCTCATCGCTTCCTCCTCCTCCTCCTTCTCCTCCTGCTGCTCTGCTCCTGCTCCTGCTCCGCCCTGCCTCATGCTCCCTCCTCCTCCCCCTCTCCTCCATCCTCCTCCTCCTCCTCCTCCTCCTCCTCCTCCTTCCTCCTCCTCCCCCTCCCCTCCCTCACTCCTCCTCCTCCTCCTCCTCCTCTCCTCCTCCTCCTCCTCCTCCTGCTCCTCCTCCTTCTCCTCCTCCACCTCCTCTCTCCTCGTTCTCCTCCTTTTCCTCCTCCTCTTCCTTCTCCTCCTCAGGGGGGGGGGGCACTCCCTCCGCTGGCGAGGGGGGCTCTTCACGGCCCCGGCTGCCCCTCGACATGCGCTGGGGCCTCCACGACTTCCGCCGAAACTGGAATCCAGGAGGGCCTCTGAGATCCTGGCGCTGCCACTCCCTTCGCAACGGGCGCCTTCGCTCAATTTCGGGCCCCGTGGCACTCGCGGGTCGATCTGCCTCGAAAAGCGACGCAGCAAGATGGGGTCCAGTGTTCTGGGCGCTTCTTTTTCTGATGACCATGTGATGAGCATGCATTTGTTTGCGATGACCATGCTTATTTTTCGCAACGTCGGATCTCAGGGAAATGATCGTGTAAGCAACCTGGCCCGGTTTTCCAGACCTGCTTCGCACAGACCCGGGCCCGCCCCTTCTTTGGTCAACGCCGGAGGGGCGGGCGTGTTCAATACTCAGGGCGGCTAGCGCTCCAGCAACCTGATGAAGAAGCGCAGGCCCAGCTCTTCGGGAGGAGGTGCTGTTCAATCAGATGCTCTTTTTGCTTTAATCTGCCCCGCTCTCGAACCTCCTGACCCTCCTGACACTCCTTGCGATTAACTCACCTCCCGACCCTCTTCCTTTTGCCTTAGTTGGCCCAGCTCTCGACCCCCAGACGGCGGCGGGCATGCTGCACGCAGAGCGCACGCGCGCGCAGCGAGAAACGAGGAGGGGAAGGGAGGCTAACTTCCCTTCACCTCTGTGAGTTCCAGTCTGCGCCATGTGTTTGTGCCCCGAGATCTTTCAGAACGTCGACCCCAAGAAGTCTCGACCCATTCCCCGCGACCAGCTCTTCATCCAGGGTCGTTTTGCTGACGGCCCCGAGGCCTGGTGAGGGCCCCGAGAGGCCGAAGGTGGAGAAGAACACATCCCGTCGTGTCTCTTTCCCGAGGAGGAGGAGGAGGATGAGGAGGATGAGGAGGATGAGGAGGATGAGGGGAGGAGGAGGAGGAGGAGGAGGAGGGAGGGAGGAGGAGGAGGAGGAGAGGAGGAGGAAAGAGGAGAAGGGGGAGGAGGAGGAGGAGCAGGAGGAGGAGGAGGAGGAGGAGGCGGAGGAGGAGGAGGAGCTGCAGCCGTGCCCCGGTGCTGGAGCCCCGAAGATGTAGACCCCGTCGGCACGGAGGCGCGGGGGCCAGCAGTACCGCGCGCCCGCCCAGGGCCAGTGCGGCGCCGCGGCCCGCAGCGCGCTCGTAGGGGGTCCACATAGTGAACCTGCCCTACTAAGGAGAGGAGGACGAGGAGGAGGAGGAGGAGGAGGAGGGAGGAGAAGGAGGAGGAGGAGGAGGAGGCGGGGAGGAGGAGGGGGGGAAACAAAAAAAGAGGAGAAGGGGGAGGAGGAGGAGGAGAAGGAGGAGGAGGAGGAGGAGGAGAGGAGTGGAGGAGGAGGAAGGAGGAGGAGGAGGAATGGAGGAGGCAGGAGGAGGAGGATAGGAGGAGCTGCAGCTCGTGCCCCGGTGCTGGAGCCCCGAAGATGTAGACCCCGTCGGCCCGGAGGCGCGGGGCCAGCAGCACCGCGCGCCGCCAGGGCCCGTGGGCGCCGCGGCCCGCCAGGGCGCGCTCGTAGGGGGCCACATGTGAACCCTGCCCCTACTAAGGAGGAGGAGGAAGAGGAGGAGGAGGAGGAGGAGGAGGAGGAGGAGGAGAGGAGGAGGAGGAGGGGAGAGGAGGAGGAGGAGGAGGAGGAGAGGAGGTTTTCGGGAGGGGGGAGGAGGAGGGGGGGCAGGAGGAGGAGGAGGCTAGGAGGCTAGGAGGCTAGGAGGCTAGGAGGCGGGGAGTGAGAGGAGGAGGAGAGCGAGGAGGGGAGAGGGAGGAGGGAACCCCCCAAGATTTCTGAGGGGGAGGGTGGGGTTCGCTTCGTTCGGGAGCTCCCGAGCGAAGTGTACCCCACCCTCCCCCTCAGAAATCGTGGGGGGCAGGGGCAGGGTTCACATGTGGCCCCCTAGCTCGGTCGCCGCCAGCGCCCCCTCCAGGTCCTCCCGCGGCAGGCACCGCCGCGCCAGCGCGAGCCAGGCCGTGCAGCTGTGGGCGGGGCCGCGCAGCGCCTGGCAGGAGGCGGAGAGGCGGTCCTGCGCCACGGGGGCACATCTCAAGCACAGGAGGGGCTCCTCTTCCTCCTCCTCCTCCTCCTCCTCCTCCTACTCCTCCTCCTCCTCCTGCTCCTCCTTCTCCTCCTCCTCTTCCTCCTCCTCCTCCTCGTGCAACAGATTTGGGGCAACTGCAGTGCAAATGTGTTGCGCCGGAGAATTGTATTGCATTGTCTTGCAAGTGATGTGTTGCACGCGGAAGTCCAGCAATACGTTTGCGCCCCAGAATGTACTGACCGCCCCAAATGTATTGCAACCCCACACATGTATCGCCTATTGCACCAGGAGAGCATACAGTAGGAGCTCGACCACAAGAAACTTCCCACAAGAAACCCAGCCCTGAGACCCCAAGACGTCCATGGACTCTTGGTGCTGGAGCGTCGCGCCTTCCACAGCAAAACCATCCAAACCCAAGAAACCCAGGGCACCCTGGAGGCAAGCACGATGCTTCTTGGCATGGGTTTCCACTGTATCGTTAAGTCGAGCGTGTCCCCCTACAGGGGGATTGTGAGCGAAAAATGAAAGATACAATCACGATACCCCCCAAGTGGGCAAACATAGCACAACTATCGTCCCCAGACTATCTTTAGAACATGTTTTGAATATTCCCCCTGTAGAGGGACAGGCCCCACTTGACTGTATCGCCACAAGGGGCTCCAAGTCCTGAGGGAACCGGGTCCTGGCTTGGGGAAGGCTCCGATGAGGTCATCGTTAGCGGAATGAATCGGACAATACAAACAAATCATGACATGTGAAAACATTTCCATAAGTGTTCAGCGGGGTCCAGGACCCGTTTCCTTCAGCACCCGACGCTAGAGCCTAGGCACAAGCGCCCGCCGACGTGGCTCCCCTGTGCCTTCGAGGGAGGGTGGCGGTGTACCACCTCCGCCGGCTCTTGGCGGCGAGCTCTGCACCGCCACCCTCCCCTATGAGGCCCAGGAGCAGTCCACTGCGGGATGCCCGTGTGCACTTTTTTGGGTGGCAGGAGGAGGAGGAGGAGGAGGAGGAGGAGGAGGAGGAGGAGGAGGAGGAGGAGGAGGAGGAGGAGGAGGGAGGTCCAGGCCGTAGGCGTCCAACAGCGACAGCACCCGGGGGAGCGTCTCCGGCAGCACCAGCCGCAGGAGGGCGGAGGCCTGCTCGACCTCCTCGGCATCGGGGCCCCTGGGCCGCGCGGCGGCGACCCTGGCGGCCGCCGCCGCGGAAGCGGCCGAGGCAGAGGGGGCAGTGGGCTCGCTGCCTATGTCCAGGGTCTTGTGCAGCGACCTCAGAAGGGGATATCGAAGAGGAAGACGGCGAAGGAGAAGTCGGAGGGTAAGCAGCATCCCGCGGTCCGCGCGCACGACTTGGACCGGTACTGGGCCCCCGTCTCCCTGGCGCGCCGTGGAGCGCGCCAGGGGCGGCGCCAGAGGCGCCGCCAGGGGGCCTGGCTCCGATCACAAGAAATCCGCGCAGGCGTCCAGCAGCTTGTGCTGGTGCCGTCCTCTCTTCTTCGACTCTGGCAGGGGCGGAGGGGGATCGAGGGCATCAGCCCCCGAAGGGCGAGGCTGCCCGCGGCACCGGGCATCGGGGAGGAGGGTCGCTTCAGGGAGGAGGGGGGGAATGCCCTCCTCTGCGAGGCGTCGTCGGAGGAAGAGGTAGAGGAACAACAAGCAAAATGGACCTAAACTTTCAGAGGTCCGCGCGGAGTTTTTGGATCGGCGCTGGGGTCCCCCTGGCGTCGCCGCTGGCGCCGCCCCTGGCGGGCTCCGCGCGCCAGGGAGGGGGCTCCAGCGCCGACGCAAGAACCCCCCGCGGAACTCTATCAATTTATGCTTGCGCCGCCTTTTTATTGACGAGGGCCGACCTCAGGGCGAACCAGTCTGCCACCTCGGTGGCCTCGTCCAGCGCCCCCTGGAGCCCGTTTTTTCACAATTCACGATGACGCCCGTGACCAACCCATCTGCCCTCCCCTGGTCACGTCGCGATTCGCGCCAGCGCCGTGCGGGAACTGGCCATCCCTGAACATACCCAGACGGTGCCAGCGTGAACCGTGACGCGATCAGCCCCCTCCCTTGCCCCCTCCCCCTAGTCACGCCCGTGATCGGGGGGAGCAGAAATCGGCGGTGGACAACCCTCCCTGTAGTAAACCTCCCCTTAGTGAAAACGGCCTGGGACCGAAACCGACGGACCTGGACCCGCAAAAATGACGGCCGCGGCGCCCTCTCGCGAACCAAAAACGGCCAATTCCGTCATCGACGTGTCAGGGTAGGAGGTCTGTCCACCCCCGAAGAAATAGAATGACAGCAAGCTGTCGGAGGTTCGCGCGGAACTCTTGGATCCGCGCTGGGCGCCCTCCCTCCCTGGCGCGCGGAGCGCGCCAGGGGCGGCGCCGGAGGCGCGCCGCCGGGCAGGGCCCCGGCGCCGGCCCAAGAGTTCCATATGCGGATCTCCGTGCTGTGCTATTGTGCCCCGGTGGCCGCCAAGAGGGGCCAGCGGCGCCATCGATGGGCGCCGTGGGCAGCCTCGGGCTCCACGTCGAGCCGTGCCGCCGACGCCTCGGCGATGCGGCGCGGCCCCTCGGCACAGCCGGCTCCGAACCCGGGTGTCGGCCAGGCTCGGCGCTTGGCCCTTCCGCTGCCGCCCCCAGGCGGTGCCCACACTGCTCATGCCGCCAATTACCCTTCCCTCGTGTTCCCCCTTTTATGGGGCCTCCTGGGAGGCCCTCGTCGCCACCGCGGGATTCGCCTCGGGATCCTGGCCAGAACGCACCCCCAACGTGTGGCCGCCGCGATCGCCGCGGCGACCTCCACAGCCGACCCGGAGATTTGGTTCGGGGCCGGATATCACGCAACGACACTACCATGAGGTCGGTCCTCTCCCCCTACAGGGGGATCTGGGAGGAAAAACTTCCAATACCCCCGAAATGCTCATAAAATAGTCCAACAATGCTCCAAAAACCGTCCTCCGACTGTTTTTGGGGACTGTTTCTGAAAACTCCTCCCGGCCCCAGGTGTCGGCCAGGCGCAAGGAGTGGCCCCCGGGCGGAGCGGCCTCGGAAGGGGCGCGGCTCGCGGGGGCCGCGGAAGGGGCCAGGATCCCGAGCGCGCAGGCCGCTGCCAGTGTTGGGTCGGGCGCTGGGACTGGTCGAGATCGAATCAAAACGTGCCAACAAATGCTCACAACATCGTCCCCAAGAATCCTCCTCCTCCTCCTCCTCCCCCTCCTCCCCCTCCTCCTCCTCCTCCTCCTCCTCCTCCTCCTCCTCCTCCTCCTCCTCATCCTCCTGACATCGCCCCCGAATTATTTTCGACGAGATTTGAAGATTCCTCCTGTAAGGAGGTACGCGCCCGACTGCATGCTGATTGCCGCATCGCGGTCAGCCAAATGGGCGACGACCAAAACACGGGTCTTGCGCGAGATGGCATGACAACCTTTGGCCTCGCGCAGAGGGGGGAACTTAGGGGGAGGGGGGAAGGCTTCTCAGAAGGAGGCTGCTTCTTAGAAGGCGCCAGCCTTGCATCTACAGACAGGGCCCGCGCCTTCTAAGAAGCAGGGGTGCTTCTAAGAAGCCCTCCCCCCCTCCCCCTACCCCCCCTTCTGCGCGTGGCTGCAACCTTACGACGCAGCTTACGCGGGCCGCCAGTGCGGCATGCTGCGCTGGAGACGAGGGCGCTTACGCGCGACCGTACGCGGGCAGCTCACGCGCGAATGTCGGCGACGACGACTTCGTTGCTTGGCTTCGCCCAAATGCGGACCCCAGTGTGCCCGCACCAAAAGGTCACCCAGTGAAAAGTCACTCCCACGTGGAGCCGACCCAAGACCCCCGAGCTCATGGTTCTGGTCGCAACGTCGACCCCCGGAAATCTCTACCCATTCCCCGGGACCGGCTTCTCATCCCGAGTCGTTTTTTGACTGCCCCGATGAGGCCGGGCAAGGGCCCCACAGGCCGGGAATAGCGAAAAACCTATTGTCGTGCTGTCCTCATGGCCCGAAGGGGTCTGGGTCCTATATGGCCGACTCCAGGAACCCTGAACCCAAAAATGTTGTCATCCCTCGGGGGCGCATCTTCAAATTCCGCTGGCTGCCGCCGGTGCCGCCGGCCTCGTTTTACTTCCGCCGCCTTCCGCCGACCTTCCGTCGGCTTCTGCCGAGGAGAAGATGCCAACCCCCTCGATCCTCGAGGGCGAGGCCCTCTCTTGGACACCCCGCGTGCAGTCAGCAGAACGGGGGCTTAGACTTTTCCGTCTGCCCCAGTGTACTCTGCCGCCGTCTTCGGCGCTCAGGGCGGTTAACCGATTGGTCGTCGCCGCCGCCGCCGTCGTCGTCGTCGTCGCCGCCGCCGCCGCCGTGTCGCCGCTGCCGCCGCCGCCGCCGTCGCCGTCGTCGTTGTCGTCGCCGCCGCCGTCGCCGCCGTCGTCGTCGTCGTCGCCGCCGTCGCCGCCGCCGTCGTCGTCGCCGCCGCCGCCGCCGCGCGCTGCCCGGCCTGCCGCGGCCACGGCCCGCGCGCCGGCGGCGCGAAGGCGGGGCTGCCCGCGGCCTGCCGCTCGGGGGGCGGCCCCGGGGCCGCGGGCGCCGCCTCCGCGGCCGCCGCGCCCGCGCTCGCCGCGCCGGCGTCGGCCGCCTGCGCCTCGAGGCGTACACGTCGTGCACTTCTCGTCGTGCTCGTTTCTAGTCGTGCTCATTTCTCCTCCTCCCCCCCCCTCCTCCCCTCTCCTCCTCCCATCCCTCACCTCACATCCCTCCTCTCACCCTCCCCTCTTCTCCCGCCCTCCTCCTCTCATCATCCCTCCTCCCGCTCCTCACTCGTCCTCTCCTTCCTCCCACTCTCTCCCCCCCCTCCTCCTCCTTCCGCCCTCCTCCTCCTCCTCCTCCTCCTCCTCCTCCTCCTCCACCTCCTCCACCTCCCCGTCGGCGTTCATTTCTAGTCGTGCTCATTTCTAACTGCTCGTTTCTGATTGTTCCTGGCCCCCCAGTGGCCAGGAAGAGGCCCAGGATAGAACCATCAGGAAGGGAAGGCTCCTGGCCCCCCAAAGTATCAAAGAGAACTTCCGAATACTTATGTCATAGACGTGAACAGTGTGTATACGTCCCGAGGGAAGTCTCCATTGGGGATGTCAAAAGTCGCTTGGCCGCTTGAACTCGCCCAGCAATTTCGACTCGCCCGGCCGTTTAAACCCGCCGGGCCGTTTCATCCCGCCTGGTTGTTTTAACCCGCTTGGTCGTTTGAACGCCCCCGAGGTCCTGGCGTCTCAAGTTTTCTCCGAGCTGCACGTCTTCGCGCCGCTTTTCTCGGGCCTCTGGGCCCTCGTAGGTCGACTGGGCTCAAAAAGTGGCGCAGAGAGAGGGGGTCCAGGGCTCCACGCGTGATTCATTACGATGCTTTGTTCGCTACGTCGGATCTCTGGTTTTTTTTGGTTGAACAAACGTTGGCTTGCTTGAGCCGTCGCATCTTCCCCCTTTCCCCCTCGTCCTTTTTTTCTCCAAGCTGACGCGTCTAGGCTGGAGCGTTCTGCTGGTGCAAAAAAACCCTCTCCTCCTGCTCCTCCTCCTCCTCCTCCTCCTCCTCGTTCTTCCTCCTCCTCCTCCTCCTCCTCCTCCTCGTTGTCTTCTTCCTTCCTTCTCCTCCTCCTCCTCCTCCTCCTCCTCCTCCTCCTCCTCCTCCTCTTGCGCAGGCGCGCTCCCGCGCGCGCGCTGGCGCCCGCCAGGGGGGACCTTCCGAGGGGACACATCGGCCAGGTCAGCACCCCAAACCCCTTCGTAAGACGAAGCCAAGACGAAGACAAATTCGGGTGAGGATGAATCGCGAATCTCTGAGATCTAACGGCTCTGGAGGACATATCGGACGCCGCGGCCTTCTCAGAGCGTTCAGGAATACTCCCAGGGCGTCCCGGAACGCTCTGGAACGAATTTATCCTCGTCCTGGCCCCGCTTGACTCCCCCCACCTGCTGGGAGATCCGCTGGCGGGAATTTGGAAAGATGCAAAGTTCCTACAGCGTGTGTCGCAAGGGTTTGCGCAGCTCCTGTGCAGCGCTCCCTGGCCTCGCGGGGAGCTCCCAAGCAGCTCCAGGGCAACGCTTCCGAAGCTGACTGGCAGCGCCCCGTCGGGAAGATCTCAGCTATGTCCAGCCTCAGGGCACCGGGGCCGTCAAAAAACGGCTCGGGACGAAATGCCTGTCTCGGAGAAGGGGGCGAGACCTCTGGCGGTCGACGTTATGAAACAATTCGCCTGGCGAAGGACCCGACCAGATGCAATTGTGCATACCGCAGTTGTGGGTACAGTCTTCGGTGGAGCTCCCTAGGGCTGTACTGGATGGGGGAGACGCATGCGAACTTTGCCACTGGGACCTTCGGTGGAGCTCCCCATGGGCCACGGAACGCTGTACTGGGTGGGGGAGACGCCTGCGAACTTTGCCACTGGGGCGTTCGGTGGAGCTCCCTGTTTGCCACGAAACGCTGTACTGGGTGGGGGGGGCGCATGCGAACTGTGCCACTGGGGCCGTCGGTGGAGCTACCTACGGGCCACGAAACGCTGTACTGGGTGGTGGAAACGCCTGCGAACTTTGCCACTGGGTCCTTCGGTGGAGCTCCGTATTGGGGCCACGAAACGCTGTACTGGGGGGGAGACGCATGCGGACGGTGCCACTCGGGCCTTCGGTGGAGATCCCTATGGTTACAAGAAGCACTGTCCTGGGCGGAGGAGACGCATGCGAACTTTGCCACTGGGACCTTCGGTGGAGCTCCCCATGGGCCCCAGAACGCTGTACTGGGTGGGGGAGACGCCTGCGAGTGAAGCCACTGGGGCCATCGGTGGAGTTCCTTCATGGGGCCCCGAAGCGCTGTCCTGGGTGGGGGAGACGCATGCGAGTGCAGCCACTGGGGCCTTCGGTGGAGCTCCCTATGGGGCCACTAA